AACAAAACCCGTGATTTTCTGGAACTAAAAAACTGGATTTTTTCCTGATTTTTGTTTTTTATTTTTTTTTACAGGGTGAAGAAAGATTCACTACTGGCTAGAGAATTACTTATTTGGATCCAAAAAGCAATTCCTAATAAATTCCCATTTTTAGTAAGAGATAAAGATGGTAATGTAAACGTCCACCCAATTAATAATTTTCTAGCAATTTATGGAATAAGCTCATCACATTTGAGAAAAATTGGTTCTGAACATGCTATTACAATTCATGGAGATAAGAATGATGTCCATCATAAATGTCTCCGTCAATTAGCATTAAGACAGAAGGTAATTAATATCACATTAGATCATTATGGTATAATGAATAATAGACCAATTATTCCAGTATCTAAGCAAGAGAATGATGAAGTCTAGGATATTATAGACTCATACAATATCTAATCACGCTTCTTTGCTTTCACTATATCCACAGTAAAAATTTTTATTATTATTGGACGATTCAGATTCAGATCCAGATGAGGACTCAGATGCTGTATCGTTAAAAATTAGTTTTTTTCTATCTTTGCATTTTCTTTTAGCCTCAGATGCTGTATAATTTCTTCGAGAAATATCTGAATTTGCTATTAAGTCAATAATCTTTAGCCCAATCTCAGGTTTCACTATTTCCAGTAATTGGTGAAGAGAAATCGAAATTCTTTTATGTGATATCTGTTTAACAATTTTAGATAATAGTTTCGAGATATTATTGCCAGAGATAACTGTTTCATAGCTATTATTAATTATTGAATTTTAATTGATTTATTATTAATACACAGAAAAAAAATATTATTAAATATATTGTTATAATAAAACATCACAATGATAACTTTATCCTGCGAAATCAATAAAGTACCAGTAACAGTTATACTAGATTCTGATGCTAATTATAATATTATAGGTGAGAAAGTAGTAAATGGTATAGGCTTGAAAATTGATGACACCTGCGATATAGAAATATATAATCCCATTAGCAAGGTTGATGTGTTGGGAATAATTCGTGCAATGGAAATTTTGGTCCTGTCTCAAGATCGGAAATGGGAGCAAGTAGAAGTTAGTGATGTTTTCATTACCAATAAACCCGAACTTGAATCTGTACTGATATTGGGTCAGCCATGATTCCAGGAAAATGCAATGAAAATGAACTTCCAAAATAAAACTCTTACATTACTCGATGGAACTAGTTATGAGATTAAATGTAATTGAGAATATCTGGAAAATTCATAGTATATACGCCTAAAATTAATTATCCAAACATTAGCTATTTTTTTCTGATTAAAGATATATAACATACAATTTAAGAATGGTACAATTATTGCAGAGCAATGATGATGCAAAGCATCGAATCTCCAATTCCCCAAAGAGTCTAAATATTTTTGATTTACCGGAATTACTAGAACAGATCTTATATTTTTTAGAAATCGATCGATCTCTCTATCCCGTTCTGTTTGTTAACCACTTTTAATATCACTATGGTGCTCCTATTCTATAGTGTCGCATTGAGTTTTCTATAGAAAGTTATTAGCAGGATCAGTGTGAAAAAAATACATCTGGACCTCTTTATTGGTGATTGATAAAATTTAAAAGAGTTATATATGAAAAGACAAAACCTCTCTATTGTTCAAAAATGGTATATCTCAGATTGGAAGGTTTAAAAATTAAAGATACGTTAATTAGTGTGATTCTACGCTCATGTTCAGATATACGCACTCTTATTCTTGACTGAAGTAATAGTTTCACTAATATACCAATTATAAAAATTGCAAGATATTGTCCAAAACTATAGCATCTGAGTCTTAATTCATGTAAATGTCTTACTGATCAATGTATTATTGAAATTGCTCACTCATATCCAAAACTTAAACATCTTGAGCTTGGCTATTGTTCGATTGATAATAAAGCTGTCAAGGAAATATCCCACAACTGTACTAATTTGAAATATTTTAGTTTGGAGAGGTGTAAAGAGATTAGTAAAGAAGTGATAAAAAAACTTAATCCTAAAATTAAAATCGAATATCCTAATTATTCAGATAAAAAATGATCTGATTTTGATCTACCTATTCCAATGTTCACCAGTACATTATTAGATGAAACAGATCTTATTTTTGTGCTTAGTAATTACATCAGAGAGATTGGTGGAATTAATCTTAATCATTCATGATTTACAAATAATTTTACTTAATGTCGAAGAATAGAACGGGTAATCAGGATATTTGACAGCCTCCAGCTAATTTCAAACAAAGAATTTTTATTGCTGTGATGTATATATATCCATGATAATTTTTCTTGTTTTACTTTTGATTCTAGACATGAACACTGATTGGCACTAGCTGATTTTTTGACGAAAATTTCATGCAATTGTTGAGGAGAGACATTTGGAAATAATGGTAGTCCCTCACCAGTAAACCAAAATTTTTTTTACCCCTATATCAGTGAATTTCTTTATTAATACACCTAGATCATCTTCTAAGGGACCATGAAATTCTTCAAACTTTCAGAGGTACACTCTCGCATTTTTATCAGCTTCTGCCATTTCTTGATTAGTATAACTGATAATATCAAGTTCTTTTTGAATTGTCGCTATATCATCTTCTAAGCATAAAAGCAAATCAAATAATCTAATTGATTTATCTGAAGAGGCTTTATCCCTTCTAAGTTCTGCTTCTAAAATGAGATTGATATCTATACTAAGTTTCTCCTGTATAGATATTAAATCTCTCACCAATTCTAATAGCAATTTATATGAATCAGCAAGTTCTTTTGCTATCTTGCTCTCTGACACTACCATTTTATTTATATTACTATTAATACCAAGTTTTTTCTGAATAGCTGTTATATCTTTTTTCTTATATAAAAGCATCTCGTATAATTGAGAAAATTTTTCACTCAGATCAGTATTATTATTAGTATTACTCATCATGATTATTATAATATGGTAATATAATTAATGTGGAAAATAACGTATAAATATATAAATTAAGTGAATATAGCAAATTCAATCTAAAAATAATTATAACCACATCGTAACTGCGAAATTACATCACGTTATAGGACAAAGCTCATTGCAAAGCAATAATGGAACAATATCATGTGTTTTAAATTCGCGAATCAGAGATCAGCTCATGAACATACATAGTCAGCGATAGAAAAAAATAGTTGGTTTATTGATCGTAACATATCCGAAAAATAGTGAAGACTGGAGTGATCTCAATCTGATAAAATCCCGAAAGAATCGTATTTATGTTAGAAAGAAAAAGGTTGACTCTTCTATCCGAAAACTAAGCATACCAACTGTGTTTGCATGCCAGAGTAGTGATCTATCTAATCAACTATAACAACTGGTGTGAGTGGAAGGTCTTTGAATCTTTTTTCGATATGGGCTAAAATCTTTCTAGATAATATCTTCGACGGAGATACCTCTATCAATACTTTTTCTGCATCTTTTTCAGTACATATATATACCCACATTATATGTATTAATTTCCCACCCTTGTAGTTATGTCCATGATGAAGTAAAAATCGATACTCATCCATTACAATATCAATCATCTCCTCCTGATCTGCTATTAATTCCCGAAAAAGCTGTTTATTCCAGTCTTCTCGTGACTTTATCACTCGAAGCCAGATTATTGCAGTTAACAATGTATTATTCTCTTTAGACATAGAATGCGTCCTGCTTCACAGACTGGTTAACTATATATCTTTTTTCGAACTTGAAAAATCTGATCACCGTTGCAATGAAACGTAATAAAAATATATTTAATTTATTTCACTATGTCACGTTATAATGGGCCTCAAGGGAGCTATGTCATTGATATATATCAATGATGATTATTGGTTAAATAAAGGGAGTTTTAATATGTAAATGTAAATATTTACATCGGTGAATTTCTATTACATAACAGAAAATTTTAGACTATCTGTGTTGAAAACATCGTACTCCGTGATATAAGCAAAACCCTTTATTGTTTTTTTCAAAGCTATACATAGTAACATACTTTATTTACCTAATATTGTAAATTTTAAACTCATTACGTTCAACCAAAGTATCTTTCTTATTATATATGACGACAGAACTAGTACAAGATCCAAAGTAAAATTGTGCATCGCAAGCTACAACTCGTATTGATAAGATAAAAATTATTTATATTTATTTTTTTGACTTCCGCTTTTTAGGTCGATTCGGTGATGACTGGTTTTGCTTTACTGAGTGTACTCTTCGCTTGGCCAGCAACTTTTGGTTTTGTTCAATATATGAATTTTTCACTTCAATATTTTCTTTCATGAAGGACTAAGAATAGATCAGTATTAGTAAAGAGCAATTGATAAAGTAAATAAAACTTTGATGCACTTACAAAAAATTTGAGACATGTTATAATTGCTTCGGAAAGAACGGGGAGCTCTTGCCAAGTTGAAGGGATCTTGAAAGTTCCATATTCCCGGAGGCAATACGACTTCTGGTGTATTGTTAACCAAAATAAAGATACTTCAGAACGATTGCCAAAAGCACTAAAGCTTGCGAGGTCTTTGTGGTCATATATTCCGTTTTTGAGACGAAGGAATATTCGCTGGTTCAACACATCTCGCATTGTTCTGATCAATTTATAATCATGAATATGAAACTGAGTAATATCATCAAAGTTTGGGGGTCCTGTCTGTTCATACAAGAACACTTCTTCATGACTCTGCCAGAGACGAGCAAGGCCATCTGCACACTTTGCTTCTAAAACTGTATCAACGATTGGATTTAGACCAGTATTACGACGAGCTTTACTACTTTCTACCGGAATTTCAAGACTATAATGGTGTAATTTCAAAAGTTAATTACAGTAAATAATAATTTCCCAGGTGTATAGTCGCGGACTTACATTCTCCAATCAACGCTACATACAGTATTCATTGTATTCTCTAATATTGGGCTTATGAATTGTGCATTATACTGATTTTCTCGGAGGTCACCTGACCTTAATATGTTGAACGGTGCTTCGAAAGCTTTGATACTAAAAAGAACCCAAGTCGTTATATTATAATATTTGCATACAGTAGATAAAATGATCGTAAAGAGACATACTATGGTCCAAGGATGTTGTAGATGACATTCACTAGGTCTTTTTTGTTTCCATCGATCTTTTCGTAAAGTCCACGCCAAGCCTTTTTCCATTCTTCTAGGCTATCTCTTGGCTGTTTTTTAACACCAATAGACAAAATGAGTAACAAAGATAAGCAAATCAAAAACGATTTTTGTGACATACCTTGAAAAATTCTTGTATGAAATTTTCCCATTCCTCAGATATATTATGTTTGGGATATGTACCTAGCACGAATTTATCCCAATATTCTTCTGAAATTTCATCCGTGAAGCGTGAAGTTGGTCTCATATCCATGATGTCGCTATGACATAAACTAACAGCCATTATTGATGATAAGACTACTACTATTTCAAATCACGAGATGATCTTACTCACTCAAAGTTGTTTCTGCATTCATCGCAGTAATCTTTAAAAATTTTCTCCAGATCAATGTCGTCCACTATCAATGGGGTCCTTTCTACTTTCCCAACCATTGATTCCGATGCTTCTCTCAAACCATTCTCCAAATCTGAGTTAATTCAAATGATTGTGTCAATAATGTAGCGAAATTGTAGCAATATACCATAGACATAGTACCTCTTTCATTTTGAGGTCGGTGTCCGTCTTCTCGATCTTTCTTGTTCATATTTTCATGTCAGCTTCACTCTCTTCGTCAATAGATGATGATATGTCAGATATGGAAGAACCTTCAATCTATCAGCAAGATATTAAAAGGTGAGAAGATATAAACTTCAAGGTCAGAAGATACCCAAAGAGACCAAAGTTATGCATAAAAGAAGGGATGTACCTTGTGTGCTAGATGAACAGCTCTAATATAAATGGCTTCGTGCTCCTCATCGACATCATTGTCCTCTGATCTCGCCTTTTTCGTAACTGATGGAACTGAAGCTACTGGTATTTCATTATCAAGTACTTCGTCATCCAGTTGATGTTTTCTGTTACCGTGCTCTTCAATGTCATTCACCTTATTATTGGCGCTTTTTATTTCACCAGCAATACCGACAATCTATGTTGAAAATCTTTTTAAGTAACGTTGAAAGTCATACTTATTATTATTGATAATAACTTACATCGGCCATAGTTGAAGTAAAATCCTGTTGAATACGCAAGCCTGTATCATGATTTGTTCGACAAGCTAGAATCTAAAGCATAAATTTGAGTTTTAGCAATACGAACTTATAACTTAAAAATATGTGATATACATACGGCTTTTTTTTCCTTTAACCATATCTCCCAATCTCTTTGTATAGATGCTTCCTATTTTTGCGAGAGAACAGACATTAAAAACACTTCATATTTTGTGTTATAATTGTCAACATGCTTAAATACATACATCGATATTCATTGCTCTAAGCTCACTGAGTTTATCTCCTTCACTACGCTTTATAGCAAGATCAAAACATTTCCTATAATTTTCAATAGCTCGTGCTCGTGATGTTGGATGGGTTAAACGAAAAAAACCAATTGGTTTTGGTTCCGAAGAACTTAAGATCCAGTTTATGTTTACTTCTTGCCGACTCTTACTAAGTTGACTCTTTTCCTGCTTTCCCATTATGACTGAATCAAAAAAAGAAAGAATCGTAAGTATTATCATAAACAGAAGCATCGAGTAATTACTAAAAGCGGGCAGTTTTCACTTAAGGCCGGCCACCGCTTGATTGTGACTCGCCATAATTGGCTTCCGGTAGACCTAAACTCTACCGCGGGCACCTCTCATGCTAACAAACCCCATAATAATTCTGACGCAACGAAGACCGTCGGCCATCGCTTGATGACTCGCCATAAATGGCTTCCGATAGACCTCAACTCTATCGCGGGCACTTCCTTCGTGCTTAACAAAACTATCGATATAACTTATAACGAAATTTTATATTAAACTTACGTGGCGAAAAAAAACCAAAAAACGTTACGCGTTTACAATTTTTTTGTCAGATCACTCAGATGATCCTACCGATCTGCAGACTGCATATTAGTATACTGTGACGTAATAACTCTTCTCCAATTAGCCTATCTCGATCTGTTAATATTTTCTGGTATCTTTCCGCCTTTCTATTCCACCACGGAAGCATCCCACAGTCCACCTATCTTTCTCTTAGTCTTAGTAATGACCGAAAATTTTTCGGGATCAAGACCATTTTCAACAGCATGCATCACGCCGATCACTTTTGCCAAGAAAAAAAATAATTACGATTGATATAAATAAAAAATAACAAATTTTATCTTTATTCATATCTATAAATTTATTTTTTAAAAGCCGGCCTATATAGATAGAAGCGTGGGGTAGAGACGTTTAAAGGGAGAAATAAAGCCTAAATACCCGCCGGATTCTAAGCCTTTTACATAGTAAAAATAGCGGTTCCTTTCCCACCCCACACTAGCTATCATCATTATTGTCATTATTACTATTGAATATATTACTACTATTTACCATGCTACTAAAATAAGTATCTTTCTTTTTTCCTTCTTTCTCAACCCAAATATCGATTTTATCCAGTGAAATTCTTTGAGAAGATTTCTGATACCAGCAAGTGTGATTGAACTGAGCTCTATCTTTTCAGATAAGATATTATATATTTTCGTAGGAGAGCGTCCTTCTCTCTTTCTTCTCTCGTTAAATAGGGTGGTAAATTCAACCCAGAAAGTCTCAGTTTCGTCAGAGTATTCAGATTTGTGGCTTCTTACAGATTCTTGTCCTTTAATCAACGAAGATAGTATGTTAGTGCTAAAACACATTAATGCAAAGTGCACGAACTTTGTCCAATATAACAATGTCGTTACCTTGAGACCGAATCTCACTTCTACATTCTGTTTCAGTTCGCATTCTATTCATTTCATTATTAAGCACCAAAATTGCATTTTCGAGTTTTTTTATAGTGTTACCGTTTTGATGGGGCTTTCGAAATACTCAAAGGTATTTATAAAATTTAAGGAATATTCAAAGGGAAACTTCC